CAAGCGAGTTGCATATGTTGAAGGATTGAAGCACAACCTCCTAAGTATCAGTCAACTATGTGACAAAGACTACACAGTAAAATTCTTAAAGAATTCATGTTGCATCTTTGACAAAGATGATAAGGTTGCCTTAACCAGTTCTCGCCTAGAGAATGTATATATCATCAATATGAATTCTGCTACCATTGAGAACAGTTGTTTCTTCTCTAAATCCTCGTCAGACATAACTGGCTATGGCACAAACGGCTCTCTCATCTCAACTTCAAGACACTCAGTGTAATAAGCAAACAGTGAAATCATTTCATAACGACAGTGAAACCATTTCATAACGACAGTAAAACCATTTCATAATTGTTAAGAACATGTTGTGTAATAAGCAAACAGTAAAACCATTTCATAATTAGATTGAAACGGATCCATCTATCGAAAACATGAAAATGACAAATGTCTCATCTAATAGGCAAACAGTGAAACCATTTCATAATAAGGTTGAAACGGATCCATCTTCCGAGAAAATGAAAATAACAGATGGCTCCTCTAGAAAGACGTTTATTTGTGTATCGTAAAAAAATATGGTAAATCATTTCATTCATTAAATGTAATAGTTAAAATAATTGTTTCCTTATTCAAAATGGGTTGATTAAGGAAACTGATGATTATACTCTATTTAATGATATAGACGGTTTTACAATTTTGCCCTTGTCCAATTGAAAAATAATATTTTTTCTTATTTTTTTATTTTTAACTTCCTAATATAAACTAAACTAATCTTGACCATTGATCAAAAAAATGGATGGATGAGATTGTTTATATGGTTTACACAAATGAGGGCGGTTATCATTTGATCGCTCCTCTCTCTCTCTCTCTCTCTATATATATATATATATATATATATGACGTTTCAAGTGCAATACATCACATTTATACAACTAATGCAATCCAATCAATTGAGATATTTATAATAATGATGAGAGTTCATTTATTATAATTTTAATATTTATGGAAGATGACTATAGTTCATTAATTATGATCAATATTTTATATTATGAAACAATCAGAACTTTTATAAAATCACATATTCATTAAATTAAATGAACGATTGAGATTGACTTATATTGGTTGTACAAATGTAAATGGTTACATAATAACTCACCTCTCTCTCTCTCTCTCTCTCTCTATATATATATATATATATATATATATATATATATATAATAGGAGTAATCAAATGCAAACCACCGATATTTGTATATACCATGCAAACCACTTTTATCCGTCGATTTTATTATTCAATTTAATGATTTTGTTTCATGAAATTGTTTTATATAATACTTTTATAGATGAAGTTGTTTCATATATGGTTATGAAATTGTTTCATATAATACTTATAAAATTTTAATAAAATTGTTTCAAGTATTTCTTTAAAATTAATATAATGAAGATGATAATATCCATGATTAACACCCTATACAATGAAAATGATTAATCAACCTCTCATAATTACAACAAAATGAAAAATTATGATTGGTTGAATGAGGTTTGTACGATTTATATAAATAACATGGTTTGCAAATTAAACGAGAATGATACATATTAAAAAAAATACAAGAATAATTATGGGTAATTATTAAATAATACCTTAAATAATTAATTTTAAAAATAAATAAATAAGGGTATAAAAGTAATATAGTTATAGAAAAGTTAATTAACGTATTCATGTCAGAGGTTGTTTCTCTCTCCACTCAAACCTCTTCAGGTTTAGTGATGCCATCTGCTGCTGCTGGTCTCTCAGCACCAGTAGCTGATGCTTCT